GTCCTTAGGGACTAGTAAAGCGCTATACAAATACAGGCCATTTACCATTTAATGACTTAAAAAACAAAAACAAGAAGCATATGCACAATTTTGAATTTCATTCAGATGCTTTTGGTGGCCATCAGCAAGGTTCTGGTATAAGTCCGGCTGCACACTTGCTCACTCTTCTTGGCAGAATTGGAGTTTATTTAAATTAGTTGGTGTCCTGGCACAGACCAGGCTTTTAAGCATATAGCCCAAGGATTTTAGCCCATAGAGGAAAGCTTAGTACTGTACCTAGACCAAGACACACTACTAAGAGGGCTTAGCCTAAAAATGAATAATAGCTGCAGCCATAAAAAGGATAGATATTTACTGGCCTATTTCTTTATGTGATTTACCTTTAGCCCTGATCTTTATCCTGTGTTGTCTGCGGCTTATGTCTTCCACAGTGTCATAGTGGTTAATCAATGAGGTTGTGGGATGCACTCCACTGAACATCCTCTGTCTTACACATGCCTGTGGAAAACACACAAGACACAGAATTAAAAGGCCTGCAATATATTTAAAATGACATAATAAAAACGCAGCACATGAGGTCAAATCCAGTCCTACAGAAATCCCGCTGATTATGTTACTTTTAGAATCTGTACAAAAAACAACTCTGCACATGTGGAACCTGATGAGAAAACCCGAAGACGTTGGATGTGAAATAAACTGTTGATTACAAAAACCTGTAGGAGGTTATATCTTACTATAATAATCTCTGTCTGTGTGTTTGTTTCCTTATCCGCTGTCAAAAAAGTCCATTTTGACCAGATACATCTGTATGGAGCTGCTATTTGAGCCTTATAATAAAGTTGGCATAGCCTTTTAAGTATAAATTAACCTCTCAACATAGCTAATAGCTGCAAAAAATTTAGATCTTTAATTTCATGTGACGACTCTGCAGCAAGCTATTGATGACTTGATATTTTAGCTTAGCGTTTATGAAATTTTAGAATACAAATAATAAGAACTCTTAGAATTTATTTATTTTTATTTAACACAGAAGCTGGAAGGATTTCAGGGTTGTTCCTGGTTCAAATGGGTCATGGAAGCTTGTTTCTACAATGGAAAAAACACACACACAAAAAACATAAAAATTGCCAGTCAAGAGCCAAGCTGAAGTTTTAAGCTATTAGTTCAAAATTTCAACTTGCTGACTCAAACTGCAGCGTAAACTGAAATTATGAGATCATTTTGTGATTTTTCTCAGTCAGGCAGTACTGGACCTAACAATAGTAGTAAAGAATTATTTAATCAAATAATGAAAGTACTTACAATTAAATATATCCCTTAAAGAAAATATTGTTTCTTTTTGTTTTAAAGAATCTGCTTCCACTTTGGGCTTTATTCTTTTGGTGTATAGGCCAGAAAGACGTATACAAAACGGCAAATACCTACACACGTAATATAACAGGCAATTCAGCGTACACTTGGACTAAAGAAAGACAGTGAGGGTTACTTACATGGCCAAAGTGTCCCTTCTGTGAGCAGTTGTAGCAGTAGGCATGAGACTGACTGCTGCGCTTTGGTTGCTGCTTCACAAGAGGGCCATGCTTAGTCTGTTAAAAAAAAAAAAAAAAATCAAAAATATATTTTTAAATAAAAACCAAAATCGGATCCCCCCCGATAAACATGATGGACACAATAAAACGGTGGCTTAACCTCCCATTTCTGTCTCGTTCTTCCTCTCCTCTGCCATCATTCCCATGCTCTCAATGAAGCGGACTGCAGTGTATTGTACAGAGAATATGGGGCGCTGATATAAACCACTGATTTCCGAGGTATAGTTAGAGGCCTGTAATGACCCTGTATGATAAGTAACTGTGTGTGTTTGTGTTTGTGTGCGTCAGACTGTGTGTGTGTGAGTGTTTGTTGGACACGGGGTCCCGTCCCCTATGGGCCAGTGTTCTGAAAGCCTTCCATGCTCCAGCGCCCACAGCTAATATACACTGATAAAGAGAGAGAGAGGAGACACAGGCAGAGTGCATTTACTGCTAATGTTACACACACACACACACACACACATACACACACCTAATGCTATTCTCCAAAACACACAACCACAAAACTGCGCAGAAATTACCCCCTCCCTCTCTCTCATCCCTGATTCCGAGATTACAAATGATTTGCGCCCCACGTCATTTCTTAAACATAGTTTAGGTAACCTCCCCTCCCCTCCCGCTTCACCCTTTCCTCCGTACACACCCCTGCAAACCCACATCTACACCTCACACTTTTCCCCTCTCTCTCCCTCTCTTTTCCGCTTGAGTAGTTTTGCGGCAGAAAGGATGAATGCTATTAGAGCGTCGCGTCATTATCGGGTCAGGCCTGCCGGGCCCATCTCCATCACAAAGGCCAGGAGATCACAGACCTCTCGCAAGCACAAACTCTCTCTCACACACACACACACATACACATGTGCACCCCAAGGAGATCACAGCCCCCGTCTCGAGCCCCCCACCCGACCTCCACCCTTCCTGCCCCTCTTTCCATTCATCTTTCATGTAAATTGGCTGTAGGTCTCCCTCTGTCTCTCCCTCTCCCTGACCTTGGGCTTGCGTTATCTCCACATACTCTGATCCAGCACACAGAATGAATGAAAGCACGAGAGACATCGAAAAAAAAAAAAAAGAGAGCGAAACGAAATCCCCCTCTTATTCTCACACCAACCTGTGATAGTTGTGTGAATACCTGGTGTGAATGTGCGTGTGCATGCGAGGAGTTCTCTGCCTCATCCGATATTAATTAACGGGATGAACGTTTATCCCTCACTCGTTTCCTCTCCTTGTTCTGATCTCACACTGCCTATCACGGGCATCTAAACAGAGTGAGGCCCTAAGGGATCACAGCAGGTTGGTGCCTTTCTAAATCTTTCTTAAATGGTTTAGTGAGGAGTGACAGCTATGGCTGTGCAGCGACAGCTAATATGACACATAATTTTAGTATAAATTTGCAGCAGGAACATTTCCACTGAAGTCTAAACCGAGTGGGAAACTGGATTCAACATCAATGGCTATGCAAAACAACATGTTTTCCTTGTTGGTCGGTATGTGTTCAGTTCTGGATCACTCATAGCGAGTGAAGGGCATTAACTTGAGTTACACAGATTATGTCTATGGAGAGTCTACTCGCTTCGTATTAATGCCATGTACCAACATTGAGTGGAATAATCACCAATAATGAACAGGACTGAATAAAGAGCTAAAATCATTATTTAGATAAGGGGAAGCCATTATATGCTAGCACTGCTAATGTTTGTCAGTTGGTGGGTTAAGATAAGTATCTCAATAAAAAACAAAAAACAAAAAAATTACACCTCCGTCAAAACCTGAATAACACAGCTGGCTGAGGTGGTCATCAGTGGATGCTACACTACATGGACAAAAGCACATGTACCACCTGCACATGTCACCTACAGGAGTTGCTCAGTCATGGTAACCAATGAAGCAGCCGGAACACAGTTTTTGTGCTGATGTTAACACCAGAAGACATTTAGACTTTTACACACTATTCGCCTCGGCACTTGCTGATACTGCTCTGTAACTTTACATGTTCAGCCAGATCATTTCAGAGATTCCTAAACACTTTCAAAAATATGACTTATAGCTAATTGGGAAACATGTAGGAGGGAATGAATGTAACAGACTAACCTGCTGCAGTGGTGGCATCCAATGACAGGACAAAACGCAAAGTCAGTGAGCTCTTTAGAAGGACCCATTCTTACAAAAGTGTTTATAAAGGCTGATTACACAGCTAGGTGCTTGATTTTATACACCTGTGGTAATGGGACTGAAAACACCTGAATTAAATATTGGGACCGTCGGCTGTGATACACAGTACAGTACTCACAGTAAGGTATTTTCATGCAACCTCAAAAAAAGAAAAGAAACTATGTAGCTAATTTGAAAAGATTTAATTAGAAAATGAAATCTTTGCCGATGCAAAGTCTGATTTTTTCAGTATTTATGCATTTTCGTTCACCTACAGAGTGATTTTTTTTCTTCCTTTTATATTTTTTAGCAGTCAAAAAAGTTAGAGTGACCCAGTTCTCTATGTAAATAGGCACATACTGCAGGAAATCATCTTTTTGTTTTTAAATAGAAAATACACTGGTTCTTTTATAGTGCATTTTCTACTCCATCCAAGCACTCAAAGTGCTTTATACATACATATACATATATATTATACATACATATACATATATTATACATAACACATTCGCACAAGCTTTTTTCTGCAGCTAAGTGCTTTCTATCTAACAATCACACACATTTACACTCGAGTGTCATTTTACAGACAGCAACTCAGGGTTCAGTGTCTTGCCCAAGGACACAATGGCATGAAGACTGGAGCAGACAGGGATTGAACCACAAACCTTCCAATTGGCAGATGCCCTGCTCTGCCTTCTGAGCTCCTTTATCAAGTGTGTGTGTTTGTCCCATTACTCAACTCGTCCATCTGAGAATCTCCACTGCCACTGACAGAAGAACTTGTTACCATTTTCTGCTTTACCTAAACATTTCCCAAAAGACCCTGAGAATGTCCATGTCTCTTCATAAACTTGCTTACAAGCATTAGAAGAAACTTTCAGCATCAGACACAACAGGAGAGACTCCCTTGATACCTAAAGAGCTTCTGATCACACACATAAAGCATAAAGCCAGCCTGACCTAAAATAAAAAAAAGGACTGAAACTGGAAAGAGGAATGACGCATTGGTTTAGTTTTTGTGTGTGTGTTAGTTTGTACGAGGGTATTTGAGAAGGTCCTGAGGGCTCCACTGTGTGGACATAGACAACCAACCATCCGTGGCCTCTCATGCATGCACGCACAGATACATGAGCACTCTCTCCCTGTCACACACACAAATGTGTTTTCCCACAGTTGTCCCAACACATACACCGTGTCTCTCTAAGCCCTGCTCGCCTCTGCTCCTTGCCTTAGCTGCTGGTGGCAAAGCTGTGATAATCCTTCGGCCAACACAAAGCTCAGACTGTTACAGACTAAAATCTGAAGGAACACACACACACACACACACACACACACTGAGACACACACACAGTTATCAAACAAAATCCGAGAAGCAAACAGGCTTGTGTGTGTGTGTGTGTGTAAGAGGAGAGGGGGGCGGGATCTGAACAGTAACGGGGGGTGGGAGCGTAGGGGCCGGGGCCAGCAGCGCTGTTTTGCATATGTTATTGCAGCAATAGGGAGAGGTTTGCATATGTTACTGGACCCACAGGGGACCAACTCTGCATGCTTTATCATAGAGAGCAGCCTCACAACACAAGACTACTGGGCTCATACCAAAACAAACAGAGCCTTGTGGTGTGGGTGTGTGTGTGTGTGCGCGCAACATACCACTATGTACATATTAGGTTAACAGGGAGGATTAATTAGACTGTTGTGAATCAGAGAGATGAAATGGCTGTAAGGTGTACATCTTCCCAGACAGGATGCAATGAATGAACTGCAGACCTAACCATTAATTCTCCTTTTGTTATGGAATAATTAAAAAAAAAAAAGGCATATAAACCGTGTTTACTGTCACACATCAACAGGATTGACAAAAATCCATCTGCTTAAGGAGACTGCTGAAGGTGGAGGTGGGCATGTTTGCAGTTAGGTAGGCCATGAATGAGGAAGAGGAAGTGGATCCTCCAAATAACCAGATGTGATTCCTGCCCTCTTTGTGTCTCCCAGTTCACAAAGACTGAAACCCTAACCCCGCACCCGGTGAGGACTCACACTCACACAGTGCAATTCCCAGAGGCTCTTCCTATCTCTTCCTGTCAGTTGGTCAATCAGTTTGTAGACAATCAGTACGAGTCCGGATTTTTTTCTTTAGAGAGGGAAAAAAAAATGCTCCTGGAATGTAACGATAATGTGATGCAGAGCTGGGAGGCGGTGGGTTGCCACCTCTGGAGAGAACCCCCCTTTAGGGGCAGCAAGTGGCGGTAATCTGGTCACACCGTGGAAGGCGGAACAGGGGATACAAGCTAATCTATTCAAAACCAAGTTGTACGATTTCTTTTCTTAGTGCTCACTGCTGAGTAGAGAGGCTTCTTTTCTGCCGTGGCCAGCGTGAGGCTGTGTTTTCATTAAATATAGGAACCATAGACAACACGTATGGACATGAGAGACACGGATTTAGATATACTACATACAGATGGACCGCGTCTTTTATGCTCTGGTCAGTATTTCAAATCCTAATTTCACATTCTCAGCCAGCTACACACACACACACACACACACACACAAATCGACACCATCCAGCTAAGCGGAAATTCACAATGACCTGCAAGCCTGCAAGACCTCTGATAACACTGCACCTGTGTGTGAGTGTGTGCGTGAACATGTGCATTTGTTTACATTCCTATGGTCCTGCATGTGCATCCAGTAGATTATCTAAAGACACTTTTACCAAATACTAATAAACTCCAAAATACAGAGTCCCTGGTCTTCTTACTGAGGATAGCAAAGTGTGTGCAAGCTTTGATGAGGACCTCTAAGCCTTTGTTTGTAGTTTGAACAAAGTATTTTGGGAAGGGAAGCACCTA